GCTTGAACTCTGGGCCTGGGCACTGTCCCTCAGCTCTTCAGCTCAAGGCGAGCGCTCTACCACTTGAGCCACAGCACCACTTCCAGTTTTCTGGTAGTTCATTGGAGATAAGAGTCTCACCGACTTCCCTTCCCCCGGCTGGCTCTGAACCGCGATCCTCAGATCTCAGCCTCCCTCCAGATCTCGGTCTCTTTCAGGACTGAACGTGGATTCTGGTCTGAGGGAGGTGGAGTGGGGCTGGGATGGCGGAGGTGTGGGGCGCTGCCTCACAGGGCAGGCGAGGAGCTGCCGGCCTGGGTGTGGGGCGCTGGCTCACCGGGCAGGCGAGGAGCGGTGGCCCGACTTACCCCGTGGAGCTTCATGTAGAGGCCACAGGCATTGCACACTGGCTCACCCTCGGCGTTGCGGCGCCACAGCGTGGTGGTGGTGGTCTGGCAGTTGGCACAGGAGAGGCCCACTCGGCGGGAGGCGGACTGCAGCACAGGAAAAAGCCCTCTGTGTCATGTGGAGGAGGTGGGGGGGCGGCCCAGGCCCCGCGGGAGGCTCCCGGCAGTTTTAGCACCTGAGGGGTTGCCTAGCCCAGGCCTGGGGCTAACAGTAAGGCCTCCGCCCATGAGCACAGCCAACGCCGGCACCAAAACCTGGCTTCCGGTCACTCCTTGTCACACAAATGGCCTGGCAAAGCCGGGCACTGTGGACCGGGGGCTTCTCCAAGAAGCGTTGTTGGTGCTGGTCAAAGTGGAAGGAGATGTGGTCTTCCAGGTCTAAGCCTGCTCAGGACTCGGGGGTGGGGGGCCTCCCAGCCTCGGCCGCCTGGCCGTCCTGGCTCCAGGTTGTATTAACTGATCAACTGAGGAGGAACCAGCCTTTTGCCAGGGGCTGACCCAGAGCCCCCAGACAACCAGGGAGCCGAAGCTCTCTGTGGCTGAGACGCTCTGCAGAGGCAGGAGCAGACTAAGCACCTTTCTAGCACAGCCCGCACGTGGAGCCCAAGGCCAGGGCAAGGCCTGGGGCCCCACCATCTTGCTCCCACCCACCCGACTCCTCAACCACCAATTCCAAAATCCCATGAACCAGGGGCAGAGCGGAGGGAGATGCTGGCGGCTGCGGGCTGGCGGAGCTTACGTACCAGCCGGCGCTGGGGCTTGATGAGGGGCCGGTTGATGCCGTTCATCTTGTGGTAGAGACCGCAGGCGTTGCACAGGTAGTGTCCCGTCCCGTCCCGCCTCCAGAGCGGAGTGGACATCGCCCCACAGTTGACGCACTCTCTCCCTTCCGAGAAGTCATCGAACATATCTACTGGGGGAGGGAGCAGAGAAGAAGGGACACAGAGGTCAAGGCTTTTTCTACACCATTCACCTGCCACCTGGCCCAGAAATAAGGGCCTCTTGTTGGAGTCACCAGGGACCTGGGCTGGAGGGGACACCTCGATTTCAGTCCAGGTCTCACCTCCAGTCTCACCTCTAAGACTTTCACAGTACTCTGATCAGACCTTTCTTTTCCCTTTTGAAATGGTTACTTTTTCCATTGAATGAAAGTATGATAAATATTTACATTAGGAAAACTAGAAAGCACTATAGATCATTCCCACTATGGCACACATTTTGGGGGGTGTGTGTGTGCGTGTGTGTGCATGTGCGTGTGTGTGTGTGTGCGTGTGTGTGCGTGCGTGTGTGTGTGTGTGTGTGTGTGTGTGTGTGTGTGCTCAGTCATGGGGCCTGAACTCAGGGCCTGAGCACTAACCTTGAGCTTTTTCTGCTCAAGGCTAGCAATATACCACTTGGAACCACAGCTCCACTTCCGGTTTTCTGGCGGGTTGATTGGAGATAAGAGTTTCACAGACTTTCCTGCCCAGGCTGGCTTTGAACTGCGATCTCAGCCAGGATTGCAGGTACAAGCCACCAGTGTCCAGCGTACATTTTGTTCTATTGAAGCCTTTGCAAGACTTTCTACCTGGCTGGGATCAAGCTATATAAGGTCAGGCCTTGTCTTGTTTACAGACTATCAAAGCATTTTCTAATGCTCACTTTAGCACAGTGTAATATTCCATCATCGAAAATACATGCCATCTTCTTACTCTTCATTCAATAATCAGGTAATCTTTATCTAATATCTGGTCTTTCTTTCATAAATACTGACCCTTCTGCATGTAAATCTGAGAACTTCCGGCTATTCTTTCGGGCACTCTCCTGGAAATAGAATGTCCAGATTTCTACTTACATTCTTGAAATCTCCAGATTGCCCTGCGAAAGGCTTCATTGCCTCCTTTTTCCCACTTTAATGCGTCCTCCTGGCCTGCTTGTCCAGCAGTGGCTGGACAGCTCCCTGGCTCACAGGCGCATAAACACCTCTATGTAATAAGCGACAGCATCTCAGAGCGGACCCGGGATGGGCGCTCCAGATGGCTGCTGACCTCCAGCATCAGCCTGTCACTCACTCACCACACCTTTCTCCTGGCTGTACAATTTCACTACTGACAAATTCCTTGCACTGTGCCTCTTTGCCCTGGTGAGAGACGTGAGGACAGTGTCAAGCCCGGCTCAGAACTTCCAGAAGTCTCTGACTCCGTGTGATCCAAATTTCCTGCCCCTCATTTTTGTCCTGCGGTCCGCCAGTGAGGTAGATCCTCTCCCCTTCGCCATCCCTGTGAGTGGGGTGTGCGCTGGGGGAGGGGGTTCCAGCACTTTCTCTCCTCGGGGCCCGCTCTAAGGGAATGTGGGCTGGAGGATGAGGGGCCCTCCCCCAACTCTGGGTACGCAACAGTCATCCGCACCTGCAGACAGGTAGCCGTGTGGGTGCCGGGCAAACAGTCTGCAGGTGCGCAGGGCTGTTTGCTCAGGCCCGGAGCTGAGCGCAGCAGGCACAGAGGCTATTTTTATTCTCAGGCCACACTGAGGCCCCTTCACCAAGGTCACCGATCTCCAGAGCCTGCACCTCCAGCATCAACAGCACGGTCAGCACATCTGCAGCCGGCCAGCCCTGTGCCTTCCACCCATGTCCTCCCAGGAGGGAAACCACGGAGAGACCACCGCCCAGAGGGCGGACTAGTGATGTCGGAGTCTTATTTGCAATAAATAAACACTAGATGGCACTACATCCTCAACATTGAACCATGCCTGAAGTGTCGCTTATGCCAGGCTTGGGGGTGGAGGACTTTCTGGATCATCTCCAATTGGTATGAGATGTTCCACTAAAACAAACAAAAAACCCACTATATTCAGATGAGGGCAAAATATAAAATCACCATCACCCAGCTTTCAACAATTTGTAACCAAAGCTAATCTTTTCTCATCTGTACTTCTACCCACTTTCCCCCCATCTTTCACTATCAAAGAAAATCTGAGATAGTCTGTCGTTTTTCTCATGGGTCTCAGTGTGGTTCTCCAACAGGTAAGATTTGTACTCTTCTGCCATGACAGAGAAGCAGACCAGCTGCTTCCCTCTGTTCCTCTCTGGGGAAGGAAGGGCCCCTTCTCTCCATACTGATGGTTTCCGAGGATGGAATCTTGTCAAGGGCCCCAGCCGATTTTGGCCGTGTTCTCTGCTCAGCTTCTCTCGCCTTGAGAAACACACAGAAGTTTCACCTGCAACTCCCACAGGCCGGCCGGCCTGCCTGCCTCAAAGAAAGAGTTCAATTATTTTCCTGGCTGCAAATAGGTTTCGTCTGTGAGAAATACATATTGAACACCTGCTATTGATGCATCATCAGGAGCCAATAGAGTGCCTAATGATGTAGCTGGTCAATGGGGCCCAAGGTATCAATCAGAAGTTGCAGGATCAGGCAATCTGTGCTCAGAACAAACATCCTCCACCTAGTGTAGGACTAGAGGCAGACGCTGCTAGTCTAGGACAGGAAGTATGGAGTCCATTCCAGACGGAAGGGTCAGCACTTACACCACAGCCAAAAGGAAGAGCTGGACAGGAAATGAAAGCCATGCTGCTTCAAAGCTCTCCATCGGACAGGGCTAGGTCTCCCCACAATAACCCCATAACTCCAAAGCTATCGAAGTTCCCATATTTTCTACTTCAAATTTGCCATCCAGACTGTTCAGTAATGTTACATATCAAAACTTTAACTGGTTATCACAAAGACAAGGTCATCGTTGAGGAAAGTAGAGCACACGAATTCCATAGATGATTACATACATAACAGTAACCTCTGCACATCACCTTGACAGTAAAATTAAAAAATAAATTCTGTAGACAGTGGTGGCAGCAAAGACCATCGGAGGGGTTGATGACTGAAAAAATGTCAGAGATTGTATTACCCACTTTAAAAAGAAATGAGCTAAAAAAATTAAGAAATCTAGCTGGGTGCCAATGGTTGATACTCAAAAGACTGAGATGTGAGCACCACAGTTCAAAGCCAGTCTGAGAAGACAAATCCTCAAGACTCTTACTCCAACTGACCAGCAAAAAGTTGAACTTGGCTCAAGTGGTAGAGTGGCACTCTGAGTGAAAAAGCTGAATGTAAAACCCAGAATTAAAGCCCCAGTAACAGTGTACCACACACACACACACACACACACACACACACACACACACACACTCCACTCACCATTCCACGCTGCTCCCAGTCTTCACTGAGGGAGTAGCTATTTTACCCTGTTGTATCTGACAGAGTATCTATTCTCCCACCTCCCTTGGG